AGAAGAGTCCCAGGTCTCCCAGAAGGGGACCTGCCTTCATATCCCCACTGGGCTCAGTCTTCATCTAGAAGCAGCTGTGGGAGGTGTGGTCTTCATCAGGGTCCTGGGATCTAGATAGAGCTCAGTAGCTAGAGACACCCATCAGAGATGCTTCCTATAGTTGGAGCTCTGAGAGGCACGTGTTTAAGGCCACCATAATACTCCTGTTTTGTTTTGTTTTTTCTCCATTTTATTTTATTTTTCTTTTCAGTGTTCCAAGATTCATTATTTATGCACCACACCCAGTACTCCTTGCAATATGTGCCCTCCTTAATATCCACCACCAAGCTCACCCAATCCCCCACCCCCTCCCCTCCAAAACACTCAGTTTGTTTCTCAGAGTCCAGTCTCTCATGGTTCGTCTCCCCCTCCGATTTCCCCCATCTCACTCCTCTCCATCTCTCAATGTCCTCTGTGTTATTGCTTATGCTCCACAAATAAGTGAAACCATATGATACTTGACTCTCTCTGCTTGACTTATTTCACTCAGCATGATCTCTTCCAGTCCTGTCCATGTTGTTACAAAAGTTTGGTATTCATCCTTTCTGATGGAGGCATAATACTCCATTATATATATGGACCATATCTTCTTTATCCATTCGTCCTTTGAAGGACATCTTGGTTCTTTCCACAGTATGGTGACTGTGGCTGTTGCTGCTATGAACATTGGGGTACAGATGGCCCTTCTTTTCACTACATCTGTATCTTTGGGGTAAATACCCAGTAGTGCAATTGCAGGGTCATAGGGTAGCTCTATTTTTAATTTCTTAAGGAATCTCCACACTGTTTTCCAAAGTGGCTGCACCAACTTACATTCCCACCAACAGTGTAAGAGGGTTCCTCTTTCTCCACATCCTCTCCAACACATGTTGTTTCGTGTCTTGCTAATTTTGGCCATTCTAACTGGCGTGAGGTGGTATCTCAGTGTGGTTTTGATTTGAATCTCCCTGATGGTTAATGATGATGAACATTTTTGCATGTGTCTGTTAGCTATTTGTATGTCTTCTTTGGAGAAGTGTTTGTTCATGTCTTCTGCCCATTTTTGATGTAATCATCTGTTTTGTGTGTTGAGTTTGAGGAGTTCTTTATAGATCTTGGATATCAGACCTTTGTCTATAGTGTCATTTGCGAATATCTTCTCCCATTCCATAGGTTGCGTCTTTGTTTTGTTGACTGTTTCCTTTGCTGTGCAGAAGCTTTTGATCTTGCTGAAGTCCCAAAAGTTCATTTTCGATTTTGTTTCCTTTGCCTTTGGAGACATATCTTGAAAGGTATTCAAATTGCAATGAAGAAGTCAAACTCTCTCTTCACAGATGACATGATACTTTATATGGAAAACCCAAAAAACTCCACCTCCAAACTACTAGAACTCATACGGCAATTCAGTAATGTGGCAGGATACAAAATTAATTTACGGAAATCAGTTGCTTTCTTATACACTAACAATGAAAATATAGAAAGGGAAATGAGAGAATCGATTCCATTTACTATAGCACCAAGAACCATAAGATACCTGGGAATAAGCCTAACCAAAGAGGTAAAGGATCTATACTCGAGGAACTACAGAACACTCATGAAAGATATTGAAGAAGACACAAAAAGATGGAAGACCATTTCATGCTCATGGATTGGAAGAATAAATAAACATTGTTAAAATGGCTATACTGCCTAGAGCAGTCTATACTTTCAGTGCCACCCCGATCAAAATTCCATTGGCATTTTTCAAAGAGCTGGAACAAGCAATCCTAAAATTTGTATGGAACCAGAAGAGACCCCGAGTTGCTAAGGAAATGTTGAAAAAGAAAAACAAAACTGGGGGCATCACGTTGCCTGATTTCAAGCTTTACTACAAAGCTGTGATCACCAAGACAGCATGGTACTAGCACAAAAACAGACACATAGACCAGTAGAACAGAGTAGAGAGCACAAATATGGACCCTCAACTCTATGGTCAAATAATCTTCGACAAAGCAGGAAAAAATATACATTGGAAAAAACACAGTCTTTTCAATAAATGGTGCTGGGAAAACTGGACAGCTCTATGTAGAAGAATGAAACTCGACCATTCTCTTACACCATACACAAAGATAAACTCAAAATGGATAAAAGTCCTCAACATGAGGCAGGAATCTATCAAAATCCTAGAGGAGAACATAGGCAGTAACAACTTCGACACTGGCCACAGCAACTTCTTTCAAGATATGTCTCCATAATAGTCCTGCTAGTTAAAGAAGGAGTTCCATATTCTTTGCATTGCTCTTTCAGAATAATCCACTGTCTGCCCAGGCTAACATCTTCAGCCTGAAACCATCACTTTATTCCTAACAATCTATTTCGTGTTTCCCAAATACCCATAGATAGAACTCTTGCATTTCAAAGATGTGCTTTATGCTGAGGGTTTTGTTTTGTTTTGTTTTGTTTTTTTCCTGCTGGAACCCCCTCCCTTTCATCCCTGATGTGTTTCTCCACATCCTTAAATCTTATCCCGCCTTTTACACATTTCCCTAATGCTTCCTCTTCCCTAATCCACTCCATGTAGGTGTTAGCTATTGATCTGCTCCACATGTGTGGTGCTTGCATTTTGCCAATTGCATTAGCGAGGATTAGGCTTGACTGCAAATCATAAAATCTCCCAAACAGAAGTAGCTTAAACCAGAATGCAGTTTAATTACTCTTTCCTCGAAAAGCCCAGAGGTCAGCAGCTCGGGTGCTGCAGCTGAGCTCCCCAAAGCCTCAGGCCCCCAGGCACTTTGGGGCTTTCTACTCCATGTCTCTAAGGTATGGCCCTTGCCTTCCTTGTCAGGGATGCAGCTCCTTTCGTCGCAGCCATTTTAAAGGGGAGTGGGGGGGGCGGGGGGGGGCAGTGAAAGAAAAGGCAGAGAGCGTGCAACAGCTTTCTCGTACATGAGATTTCTAGAAGCCGCCATATGTCTTCCTACATGTATTGACTAGAATTTCCAGTATGGTGGCTGGGCAGCACAGTGTTTGTTCTGGGTGACCGTGTGTCCAGATAAAGACGAACGGAGGAGAGTTACGGAGGGACAGCTGGCATCCTCGGCACTGGACTCTACCCAAACAGGACGGGCAGCTGAAAGGATTGTCTGTGCTGTGTTGTGACCTCTGCCAGGTTGTAAGCTCCTTGTGACAGCTACTGGCCTGCATAAGCTTGTCTCCCATGTGACACCAAGGGTGCCTTTTGTGGAGCAGGTGCTCAGTCTGTGTTGAGTGCAGGGACTCAGAATTCACCAGCATTTCTTAGAGAGTAAGAAACAAAATGGTATCACATAACTTAATAAATCTTAATACTTATTTTTCATTAAAGTCACCATTAAGAAAACTGAACATTTGCAGGAAATTTTTAAAAAATCAATTTCTATTAATTTAAAGGTAATTAAAATTACTTCTCCTTCTCTATGTTAATTTCTGTGGGTCTGATTTTAGGATCTCTGGCAAGTCCCTTAACTATTTTGGGTTTCATCTGGTTCCCACTGTGAACATAATGATGGTGATAAAAATAATAAAAGTCATTAACAGTGTTGTTATTTTTAAAAAGATTCAGACAAGGGTATCTTCTCCAGTGTACTTCTTTCTCCTTGTAACCACCATTCCATTTTTCTTATCTTTATCAAGCTTCTTATTTTCTTTTCCTGAGACTTTAGCTATCTATGAATAGTTTTTAAAATTGTTTTAGATTCCACCCAATTAATGAGTGAAAGAGGAGTCAGGTCCTAGGTCTGATTGTTGGACAGTCCGCATGCCTTCTTGGATCATCATTGTCATCTCAGTAAATGTCCATGCTGGCATTTATGTACTACTCCTATGTGACTATTGTCATTTGCTCTTTATTCTTTTTCACTTATATACAGTACTGGACGTGGGGTCAAATTTCACCCATTTTGACCAAATTACACTTAAACTAAAATGTACTACAAAGAAAAGAAAGGATAAAGTATCTTGGTCAGGAATGAGGCCACCGCCTTCAGGAGTCTTGGTGGACTCACTAGTGCTCAAGACAGCCGTCCCAAGAGGCAATTTGGTCAGGTTGGAGGTGCAGGGGTTGGGAAGGAAGATGGAAGATAGGGAAAATATTGGAACTTCGAGAAGCATGTATTTTATTCTGAAATATCTCTCAATATTAGACTCTCCTATTTCTTCAGTTAGTGATATTATAGTTAAGATAGGCATATCCTTATCATTTGAGTAAATTTCCACAACCTGACACTCTTTGCCCAAATCATCCCCATTGATGGGAACATACAAAGTTTCCTGATGTAAAAACATGGTCTATCTTGTTTTCCCAGCTGCAGCCCTGGCAATGTGCTTATGTACCCTCTAACATCCAATTAATCTTTAATATTCAGCCTTTTAAGCAAGAAACAGGGAAATAACTGGGGAAAAATTGTAACCTCAGGAAAATTTTTTGAAGAAGATACATTTTTTCATTTAAAAAAGTATCATAAGTTATCTCAAAGCAGAAAAAAAGAAAAAAGCTTAATAAAATTCTTCTAGGCATGCTTGATTTTCCCCTTGGTTTGAAATGTGTAAACGACTATTGTGGTGGAGAAAGTAAATAACTGAGGAAGTCAAACAGGCACTAGATCTTAGTCATTCTATAATCTGATGAAAAAAGAAGACATGAAAAGAAAAACTCCTATGGATTTTACATAAACGGCATAAAAATCAACATACCCATTAACGGGAGTGGTAACATTACTTAACGGCATTTTAAAATTTGTTTTAGATGGCTGAGGAATTGTGGGTCTTTGTCTTTTCAAAGCATTTCAATTATAGTAACTACAAAGTTGTAAATCATCACATTGAAAGTGCATTTTCCAATGAAGAGACACACTTTAACCTATGATTTAAGGCTAGTGTGGATCTAATATTATCATTTATTTAAACTTTGTTTTGCCCCTGTTTTTTCACTGCACAGGAAGAACTCATATCTGTTTTTTCCACAGGGAACGTGATGCAAACAGAATCAATTACATGTATGCTCAGTATGTCAAAAATACTATGGAACCACTTAATATCCCAGATGTCAGTAAGGACAAAAGATTTCCCTGGACAGTAAGTAAACCAATTTTAAACTTGGAGCTTTGAACACTGTTTTCCCATCAGATCTGTACTTCTAGGGACTCTTCAGCTGAAGGCCTGGCCCGAGAACTGGCTATATTTCAGAGTGAGCAGTGCTTTCCCTGATCCGGTGAAGGAAAATAAAATAGCTCATAACATCTGTTGAGGGGTGGTCAGCTGTACTCAAGTATTTTTCCCCTGTACTTTTCAGCTCTGTAATATATAATAATGAATTATCTTAAACTAATTTATGAGACAATTTAATTATTACCTACTTAATGTCAATGGCATTCCTTACATAGTGTTGCTGGAGTTCTTGAGTTTATCCTCAGAAATTAAGTTCCATATGGCTCGAACTTATAGACCTGGTAATCTACTACGGTGAGTAGCTCTGTGGAGAAATGAGTATGTTTTCTTTGACAGCAAAGCTACAAAAGTCCGTTTCTCAGGCATTGAAAACTTTGAATTCTAGTCTTTTCTCTCATCTCTGGAAAAGCATTGCACTTTCAGGCAGCTGCCTTGATTTTGTTATTTGAGTATCTAGAAGACCTCTTTAGAACTTCAGCAGTATGGGCAATAGAAACAGTGGCAGTCCTAAAGAAAGACAAGTGTGTAGCATGTAGCATCCGAGGTAGTGTAGTGCTTTATGGATTCTGCCTGTCTTAAGTTATTGAGACATCTGCTACACCGGCATAGTAAATACTTGTGTTAGTATTTTACTGTATATTATCAAAAGCTGCTTAGAAAGTTTGGAATGAAAAAAAAAAAAAAAAGAAATATAGGATATTTATTACTCTTTATAATGTAAAGACTAATTGCTGCATATTGCATTTACATGAACTTCATTATAATTTATACATTTTCTGTACTCTGATGTTATCTACAGCTAATAAAAGATAAATGAATAGGTTAGGGGTTTCAGATGTCTGATCTAGTTTATATAGCACGTAGTGGGCAAAACAGTCTCTTCATAATTTGTACCTGTTTTGTTTTATTTTTGTTTTGTTTAGAATGAAAACACAGGAAATATAAACCAGCAGTGCATTAGAAGTTTGCTTTGTACACCTATAAAAAATGGAAAGAAGAATAAAGTGATAGGTAAAGCCTTTTACTACCCTCTAATCTGCACTTACTAAAGAAAAAAAAAAATGTGTTCCCAGACACTTTCCTTCAAGTGTAATTTTGAGGAATAAAATGTGTAAAAAAAAATTGGAATAATAAAAGAATTTTGAAGTAATTTTATGTTGATAAATGTTAGCAGACATTCTTAAATATCTTAACTATAATGTATTTTAGTAATTATTATAATGCTTTTCAATTATTGTTGAGATTTTTGTTGAAGAATGTGTTGATAGTTTGTGGAGTGAGAGACATCAAGTTGATAATGTGAATTGATTTAGAGAGTCTCATTTCTTGCTTCTGATTTTTTTTAATATGGGGTTCACATTTTAGATTGTATTCATTTGTTCAAAAACATTTATTGAGCACTCCAGTGTTCTAGGGATTTAGAATAAATTGGTGAGCAAAGTGGAAATCCCCACCCTCAAGGAGCTTACATTCTTATATTAAGGTAATAGAAAAATGCCTACTTAGGGATGTTGGAAGAATGCATCCTCTGAAAAATAAATATATTTTTTGTTTCTTGGCATTGCAGGTTATATTAAGAGTAGTACAGAAATTTTGAGGTTTTATATACCAGTCATGCATGACTGACATGTGAAAGTAGTCTGAACTGTTAACATTGTCCCGAGAACTTGGAAATAGAGGCTACAGGAGGACCTTCTAAAGGCCAAACTTTTTTTTAAAAAGATTTTATTTATTTATTTGAGAGAGAGTGAGAGAGAACATGAGAGGGGAAAGGGTCAGAGGGAGAAGCAGACTCCCTGTGGAGCTGGGTGCCCAATGCGGACTTGATCCCAGAACTCCAGGATCATGACCTGAGCCGAAGGCAGTCACTCAACCAACTGAGCCACCCAGGTGCCCTAAAGGCCAAACTTTTATCTAGAAACCCTAATGAAGTGAGACTTAGAAATATAAATTTACCTTAAAAAGTCTCAGTAGTTTCCAGGTTGCAAGACTTAACTGTAATTTTATTGAAGGAGGGCTATCAGTCAGAAAGGCAGGGGTAGGGGGTATTATTAATGAAAAAAGAAAAAAAAAAGACAAGTATTGAAAGTGCCTATTGAGGTTCTGTCTGGGGGTCAGGGAATCTTTGCCCCTCGAGCAGAGACAGATGTAGTAAGTTGTATTGGCTTGGGCAGAGTATTCTGACCACATGGTGAGGCCGTCACTCAGGGGACAGCTGGTGTAGCAGGCTGTCGCGCTTGATGATTTCCAGCCCCTTTGCTGGTGTACGTCCTTCCTGTGAGATTTCAGTGGTGTCTGCCACTGAGCATCCCAAATCTGACTTCCATTGTTCTGATTATTTTTTCCCAATGTAGCTTAACTCCTAGGAGGAGAATGTATTACTCATATACTCGGAAATACATCGATTGCTTTGACAATTGTTTGAGCTGGGCTTGAGGCCGTGGGATTGCAGGTGCACGTGCTCCTGTTCCCCGGGACAGATCTGTTTCATGCTCCACGTGAATATTCTGGTGTTGGAGAGCAGCCTCGTGAATTTAGTGACTGTGACTCTGCCCCAGAGAGATGGTTCAGTCGTCAGCCATGGTCTTCTAGTGAACTGCGTCAAGTCTCAGAAACCAGACTGGCAACTCCTGGCTGGGCTGCTGGGCTATTTGGTCCCCTGCACTCTTCACAGCTCTGAGAGAGAAAAGTAAAGGCTGACCAGTGTGCAGTGTGGGGGTTTTCTTATCAAGATTATCACCCATCAGTTTGCTAACATAAGCAATAAGGAAATTGTAGGAAATGTTGTATTATAAGATTTTATTTCCTATAAGATTTTATTGCAAGGTGAAAACTACATTAGAAATATACCTTATAAATATATATTTTTAATGCTTTTTGATATAAGCGTGAAGACTTACTACAAAGCTGCCTCTGACCTTTGAAAATGTGAAGTGAAATTCCAGAAGGGATGCATTATTCCCTTGTAAGTTTTCATAAAGAGGACTGAGTGGCCCCTTACCACATCCGGTCACATCTTTGCTTTTCCTCAGCAGCATCTCTTTGGAATAATAATGGGGAATGGAGAGTCACTGGAGGAAGTTACATATCAGCCTTCCTCAGCATTTGACGTAAATGCGAGCTGGGTCAGTGGAGTGCACACAGCCCCAGGTGGGAGCAGACTCAGGGTGTCCATTTGGCTCTACTCTTCCCTTAACCATTTACAACATTATGAGCACATGACTCACCTCTGTGGAGTTGAACCAAATAACCTTTCAGCTCTGCTCAAAATTCATATGCTATGATCCTGTCATGTTCCCTTCAAGTGAGCAAAAAACAAAAAAAAAACCCTTTGAAGTAATCAGACTCGACCTGCATTTCGTGTCACCCTACTTGATAACAGAGTCAAAAGTAAGCAAATGTTATTTTCAGAGAGGAAAAACTCCCTATTAAGAAAGGAAAAAATGGGGGGTTGGGTGGGTGTTCAAGTTGATTCCAAGTACAGGAAGAAATAGCTCCAGTGCTCCCTGCTCTTTCAAAAGTGTGACAAAACAGAAAATTTGAGTTCTTGCCTGTATTTTGTGCCCACAGATGCAGCATGGAAAATGTCATGGCTGTAGATAATTTTTCTTGCATAGCCCAGGCCAGATTCCTCTATTATGTAATTCTAATAGAGAATCCCCATAGAGCTACATGCAGAAAGGCAGACAGGCCCATGTGTTTTTTGTAATCTTACTTCCCCCTCCTATTTTTCCATTACTGACATTTAGATGAAATTATAGACATTAGACCAGTATGGGGCCTGTTGTATTCCCCGAGGTATTGTTTCATATCAAATGTTTTCTTAGTGCTCTGGCTAATACAGAGTGTTTCCAGAGTTTTGCTTCCAGTGCTATTAAGGAAATATTTTCCTCATTCAGCATTCATTTATTTTAACCAATTATTTCCCCTATTTATTAGGCTAAATATGCCTTTTTCCCCAAATCATATTTACCAGAAATTCTTACTCCAATTTTCCATGCCAATTTCAGGACAGTTTTTGAAGAAATTAGTCCCATTCCCATCCCCCCCCCCCAAAAAAATGCTGAGAATGTCTCCACTTTAAATAACTTACATATTCATCTCTTTGTTAATGAAAAAGTAAAACAAAAATTATAGTCCTTTGTCACAAAGAAGTATGAGAAATATGTACAGTGGACTCTTGAACAACGTGGGGCTAGGAGCACTGACACCCCATCATGTAGTCTAAAATCCATGTATGGCTTTTTTTTTTTTTTTAAGATTTTATTTACTTATTTGACAGAAAGAGAGAGATCACTAGCAGGCAGAGAGGCAGGCAGAGAGAGAGAGGGGGAAGCAGGCTCCCCGCCGAGCAGAGAGCCCGATGCGGGGCTTGATCCCAGGACCCTGAGACCATGACCTGAGCTGAAGGTAGAAGCTCAACCCACTGAGCCACCCAGGCACCCAAAAATCCATGTATGACTTTTAAATCCCCCAAAATCTAACTACTAGTAGCTTACTGTTGACTGGAAATCTTCCCAGTAACAGAAACAATTGATTAACACTTATTTTCTATGTTATATATATTATATATTGTTTTCTTACAAGAAAGTAAGCTAGAGAAAAAAAAATGTTACTAAGAAAATCATAAGGAAGAGAAAATACATTTATTGTACTATACTGTGTTTATAAAAAAAAAAAACCTGCATTTACAGTACCATATTGTATTTATTCCAAAAATCCACATATAAGTGAGCCCTCACAGTCCTAATCCACGTTGTTCACGGTCAGCTGTATTTTCTACTGAATGTATGTTCTAAACTGATTACTATCCTAATTCTCTGCTCTTCTATGTGTTGCAATTTGAGTCTGAGCCACAGATAAATATTCTAAAATTATATGTTTAAATTTGACGCTACTTCACATTATTTTTCATAATAAATGTTGCCATTTGGCAATATCACTAACTGCTCATTTGTTTATAAAAATATTTGTTAGGATATTCCTAATGCAAGTATAATTAAACTGTGCAGTGTCATCCATTATAAGCACGTTGCTTATAATGCTTAAAGTATCCGCTTTTTTTCCCCAGAGAATTGTAAATTATGCTTAGTTATAGTAAGCTCCAGGCAATAAGACTCTAGGGGCAATAATAATTGGAAGAAAATTAGAAAAAAAAATAAAACTAAGGAAATAAGATTAAAATATAAAAGTTAAAATATATAATATAAAAATAAATATAAGCCATAAGAGACTCTCAAACTCTAGGAAACAAACTGAGGGTTGCTGGAGGGGAGGGAGGTAGGGGGATGGGACAGCTGGGTGATGGACATTAAGGAGGCCATGTGATGTCACGAGCACTGCATATTATATAAGACTGATGAATCACTGACCTCTACCTCTGAAATCAGTAATATACTGTATGTTAATTAATTGAATTTAAATTAAAAATAATTTTAAAAGGATGCCTGGGTGGCTCAGTGGGTTAAGCCTCTGCCTCCGGCTCAGGTCATGATCTCAGGGTCCTGGGGTCGAGTCCCACATCGGTCTCTCTGCTCGGTGGGGAGCCTGCTTCCCCTCTCTCTCTGCCCATCTCTCTGCCTACTTGTGATCTCTCTCTCTGTCAAATTAGTAAATAAAAATCTTAAAAATAATAATAATAACTTTAAAAAGAATTATACTTTCAAGAATTGATTGACAAAATAGTAAGAAGAACTTCACAGCGTTGGAGAACAGAAACTTACCTTTACTGGACTAGAAACAATGAGGGAATTTCTGGAAGATATAAGATATATACCATTCATAAGAGTACATTTTACATAAGATGGGCAAATTCGGATAGTGATGACAGTATCAGAGAGAGTCGAATTTAAGGTAAAAACATCCTGTAAAGGGATGCTTTGCATTGATTAAAGTTAAAATCCACCAAGAAAGTATAATTGTCATAAATGCTTCTAATAAACTAACATCATTGATATATAAAAGCCAAAGGAGAAAGGGACAAACTGGTAGTCATCGTAGTGGGAGCCTTT